GCGGAGCGGCTGCAGCAGGCACGCCGCGGGCGGGGAGCGTGCCGCTGGGCACGCCGGGGAGCCCGGGCATTTGCAGCGAGTCCGGGGAAGCGCGGGCTGGTGCGAAGGAGTTGCAGATATCTGTGCAGAAGTAGAAATATTTGCCCTTTGGATCTCCCCTCTTCTCCCCGCCCTCGACCCCCCGGTTTTCCTTCTGCCTCTCTCCGCCGTTCCCCCAGGAAGGCTGGAGGCAGCCGCGGGCTGATCGCGGCACGGTAAGGAGTTGGGATTTCGGGATGCAGATGTCACATTGCAGTGCAAACGACTCCCACATTAGCACTTTATCAGGATCTCAACCTGCATCTTTTATCTCTTTTAGAAAAGCGTCTCTCGGAGGAGATTGCCCTCAATAGACCCGCTATAAAAAGATTTTAGTGTCGCTCTTGTGCTTCTGTGCATCCCACTGTGCGGGGGTCCCAGTGGTCCCTTGGGAATACAAGGAGTTGTGAGAAGTAACACAACCGGCCACCAGACTAATCCACTCCCTCTACCTTCCCGCTAGTACCTCCCCCTTCTGCTCTTTTTTTCAATAGCAGCCCTTGCTCAAAATCTCAGGTTACTTTGCTAAAGAGTTCTCAGCCCTATAGTTTCTGCCCTTGTCTCTGCCTCCAGCTCCTTAAGAGCCACCCAGCCCCAGCGATTGGATTGGGCAGCCCGTCTTGACACACCACTGTGCTGAGTGCTTGAGGACGTGTTTCAACAGATGGTTGGGGTTAGTGTGTGTCATCACACTCGAGTGGGGATTAGGGAAGAGAGGCAGCCTTGCTGGAGCTGTGTGGTCTTCCCCAAGGGTGAGCTGCAAGCAAAAGAAGAACTACCTAGCTTTGGGGGAGAAGAGGGAGGAATCGTCTCCAGCAGCTCGGAGGGAAACATAAACCCCCACGCTTCGTTCAGGTAACGTAAAAGGCACCTCATGCCTCTGCCTCTCTCTCTCCCTGTTTCTTTTTCCTTCACGGTTTTCAGAGGAATGCTAGCCCAGCACACTTGTCAAAGCCAGTTGCTGCCGCCTTATCAATGCTGCTATTGTACGGCTGACAGATAACAGCGAGCACAGCCTGATGCTTGGCTGTCTTCATAGGGCTAACACTCTTAGCGCAGCTAAGGTCACGCTTTTGAAGGTGTGGATTAGAAAATCGCCTCTGGAGCGGTGCCTCTTCCCACCGCGGGCGCCTCCTCTCCCCCTCTCGCGGGCAGGGCTCCCCTCTCCCGCACACACGTGCTGCGCCCAGACCCCCGGCGCGGGGGAAGCGGCAGCCGGACAACGTTTGCCGCGGCGGCTGCGGGTAGAAGTGCCTCCGCCTCTCCGCCGAGCCGTGGAAAGTGCGTGGTCGGGCGGGGGAAAGGAATCGCGGCGGAGCATTTCCTTAGGTTTCGAGGAGGATGCTTGAGCAGCGTGCAGCCTGTCTGGGGCTCAGCTGGGAGGCAACCCAGGGTGTTCGGAAAGTGCATTTGAGATGTCTGTAAAGTTTGAAGACTCCTTTATAGAGACCTGGCTGGGCTTCTGATGATCCGTGTAGAGACGGTTTGGCTTACACATGGGCTTAAAGTTAAGAGAAAGTCAGGAAAGTAGGGAAAGGCGGCGTACGATGTAATGCTGCTCTTGCAGCTGCAGCAGAGCAGATGGATGTAATTCATTTGCAGATCTGTTTGTGAAAGTTTTACAAGTCATTGAAAACTAAGTAGCATCACTATAATGGATCATTAAAGTCTCGCTGTATTTATAGATTCTAAACTAGCGATCTGAAGTGTTAATTAAAAGTAAGCAAAAATTTATGTTTAGGAAGGAAGAGGGGCAGAAATGTAATTAGAAATTAGTTATGGAAGTACTCTGCTATCATTCTCATTTCTTTCAGCTATTAAGTTCATTGATGACTGGAGCGTGGGAAGCCCAGCAAATTAACTAAGAAGTCAGAAATGTTATCACTAATTACAGTATGTTAGCTTATCAGAGAATTAAGATGTTCTCATTGTTTTACTCTAAATGATCTAGATGGAGAAACTAGAGGATGGGATATTTTCCTTTTTTTTTTTTTAATAAAAGATTTAGTGTATATATATATACTGTCTTCCTGTGCAGAGTAACAAAATTATTTGTTTCTTTCACACTATAACAGATCTTCACACTAACTCTCACATACCTGTGGTGCTTATGAATTATTGGCCTCCTACTTGTGAAAGAAATCTAACACTGTCCTCACCATTTACAGGTGAGATGTTCTATAAATAATACTGTATATAATGTGTTCTGAAATAAGATCTGTTTAGCAGGCTGAGCAAGGGGATTTATAGCTGGTGCTTTGTGATTTTGGCATTCAACTGTGTAACGATGCCCATAAAACCATGTTTCAGGTTGCACATATATTTTTGCCTCAAACCAACTTTTTTTGTTAACTTTTTTTTTTTTTTGAGCAGGCTACTTGGCCCCTTTACAGGTTGTTCTCAGCTTGTATTTTCAAACACACTCTTCAGTAAGAATGTGTCCTCAGAAGTGACCCACAGCAATTTCAAACAGAGAATTAGCTAAATCCCTAATACGACTGCATGACTAGACCAGGACGTATGTGAATAAATTTGACCATTTTGATTTTTCTCTCAGACCACTCTTTCTCTTTGTAAAAAGTGACAGAAACTTTTACAAATTTAAAAATGAAAAACAAAACCAAAGAAAACTCTCACTATGACTCCATGTTAAAGCCTTGTATATTGGATTTCTCCTCTTCTCTCTTCCCAGTGTGTCCTGTGAGAAGTCCAATAAGCCAGCTTCAGTGCAGAGAGGTTTAGTCTTCCAGCAAAGCTAAGGTGCAGCACTGTGATTTTCACAGCCTGCTGCTGTCACAGCCTAACTGAAATGCATCCCTCTCTGTGGGTATCATCAGATCACAGATCAGATGATCTATAAGAAAACATATTTTTCAAGAAAGTGCATAGCTAACTACACATGCCCAGCTTGTTATTGTTTTACTAGAAAAAAAACCAAGTTTCTCTAGCACTGCCAGACAATCTTGCTGAGAAACTAGGAACAGCAAATCATGTTTTTCCTTCCTTTATAATGATGGGGCTGTTTAAAAGACAATGCCCACGGGGCAGTCCAGCTTCTTGTCAAAATGTAATCTACTGTTCCAGATGGTAAACATTCAAAGACATATTTATGGTGACTTCTACATACCTTCCTTTGACATTGGCTTTTTTTTCCCTGAGAGCACTTGTACTGGGTACACACATGAAGTTCCCATTAGCATCCTAGCAGCTGTAAAAGTGTTCAGAACTCACAAAGATGTTCCTCACAGTGAGATAAAAATAATCTGAGGAAAAGATCTGAGACCGGTACAACCTTGGTAGATCCACGATACGCTCAAGGTAAAAAATTCCAGAGGTACAAAAAGATCCATAAACTGCTGCATGAAAGCTGTAATACATTTTTGTTGCGGCTAATTCATCTTTGCTTGATATGGAATGCTGAACATACCAGGCATGTCTGTACTATCAACTGTGTTTGTGATGTGAGGGAATCTGCACTGCACAAAAGCTGGTGGGCTTCTTTTCCCCCCAGCTAGTGCGGACTAGGTGGGATACTGATTGTCTTCATAGAGTTGTTTTCAAACTGTCACTTTTTTTTTCCTCACTGCTCCGAGCAGTGAGACAGAGCCCAAGAAAATGTTTTCCAGCCAGAATGTGTTCTACCCTGAATTGTCTTAATTATGTATCAGTTTATTGCTTGTCAGGGGCTTCCTTTCTTAGCACTTTATAATCGAGGTGGGTGAGCTTGTTCCATCATAATATGTAACTTCCATTTCTGCTGCCTGGCATGTCTCCTTGGCCTTTCATTGATTTTTGTCTCTGCTTCAGAGGAAAAAAAAAAATAATTATGATTGGTGTAATTTCACATTGAAAAAAAAAAACCCACCTTGGTGAATTTCCAAATGGCATGTAAATACATCTTCAAAAAGTAGGCTAAATGAGAGGTCATTAGGGCAAAAAATGCATCTAAGAATCCAGAAGTATCCTAGAGATGGCAAGTATCAGTGTGAAAATTATTGTAACAGCTCTCATTCCAGTCAGGAACTGATAAAAACAGTTTATTAAAAGTGTTGTGATGCTGGGAACAGTGTTTCCAAATGTGGAAGCCATTATAAAACCCACACTCAGTGGAAGTTAGACAGCTATCGAAAAAAATATTTTGAAAGATTTGCAAATTCTGTTCTGGCTAGATCACTTTATTGCAGACTATTTTGACAGTTTGCAGTTTATTATCTAGCTTTGTTTAACTTACATACTGCACTCGATATTATATGTTTGTTCATGCAGGATCAGGAGTTCGAGCCTTGTGTAATGGCAGGACTCATTCTTACCCAGGCGAGGCTGGACACTTGTCGCAGATGTCATGGGAGTCGCGGGTTCCATGATTTCCTTAGCTTTAGAAAGGGCTTTGGGGGATTTGTGTTTGAGTGGGAAGGCAGACTGATGCGATAACAATTGAGAAAGCTCCTTTCTGAGTGCCTTGAGAGCTGCAGTGTTCAACAGAGAACGAGGGTCCCGTGACAACTCTGCGGTGACACAGAAAGAATCCAATTAGTGGCCACTCCTGCTGTTGATACTAGATCTCTCCTAAAAAAATTCCACCATTACCACCCTCATTGTAATCCCATCCACGATACCGATAATGGGATCAAGAGTGTGTTTTCAGAATGCCTGTTTAAATTTTAACTGCTGTCTTAGGAGATTTTGAGGATATTAAATTAGAAGGCACTGAATAGCACAGCTTACAAGAGAGCTACGTGACACACGTGTCACCCAGCAGTTGTCTTTCTCATACTAGATTTTCCTAACACCTCCATCGCAGGTAGAGCTTCTGTAAGGGGGCTACAGATGGAGCAAGGGGGCTGTATGTACATAGTGAATAATCCATTGAGTTGTGGCTGTCCCTGCACTGCAATTACCTGTAGACCTTGTCCCTACACAGTTACACGTGTGGAAAGTAGCGGGAGAAGGGAGTGGGAGGTGATACAATCCCCTTTGCTGTGCCCCAGTAGTGGCAGCAAGTCAGCCTGCTTCTCCCTTTAACAAGTCCTAAATCACCACCCTGCCTTCCCAGCTGGACCAGCAACGTAATATTCCCTCCCCGCCCCCTCTTTTTTTTTTGTCTTTCACTTTTCTTGCTCCAACACTGATTCACCATTTCCATATGATCAGGGCGCAGTAACTTTACTGTTGTTCTTACCAAGTAGGGCACGTTCAACACTGTCGTGTGCTTGTAGAGGACACTCTAAAGTGGAAAGACTCAAGGCTTTCACCAGTGTCACCTCAGAATGCAACACAGTAATATATGAATTGCCAAACCGGACACTTTTTAGCTGAAGTGTTTTAGCATATTTCATTTATGTCAGTAGACTCCTTTTGAGAGCCCCAGCAAGATCTTTGCTTTAGTATTGCTTGTTCATGCTCAAAAGTTATTGTTAACTGGTGAGAGTAATTCCTTTTTAATTTTTGGTGTCTTAAGACTTTTATTTTCTGAGAAAAGTAATACTTGTTTCATCTTCTGGTTTATGCATTGCACACAGCAGATTTGGTATCAGTGATTTCCCAGAACTTTAATTCCCAGTTTCAGAATCCACTTAAACCTTTGGTAAGCCTTTTTTACTGGGTGTGCTCTATTAATTCTGGAGCTCTGAGTCTTTCCAGCCTTAACCATCACTGGTGATTTGGTTACAGTGAAACATTTTTGTAATAATTGACCTTTTCACCTAAAATTTTATCATGACTTTCTTAAAGTTTTGTTTCGAGTTGTTTTATATCAAAAATTAACTTACAATTGACTATAATTCTACATTGTAACTTTCATAGCTCCCTGCAAAGTTGATAATATTGCTGGAACTCCAAACAAAAATACTCTTTTTCACCAATTATATCACAGGCTAGTGTGACGATACCACCATCGTATTCTGGAAGATTGCTAGAGGTGGTATCATGCTATGGAAATTCAGACTATTTTGTAGATCAATGCTAGATTATCCACAGAATATTTCAAGGAGTTTCTAAATGGAAGCAAAACACTGAAAGTCAATAATTTTATGTTCTTAAGAAAAAAAAATCTCTCCTGATGCTGTCTGAGTGTAATTATGGCATTGCATATTGCCATTGCTCTATGATGTGACTAACCCATCTTAGCAAGAAGAGGAGCTGCTCCACAGCAGCAGTGTTTTTGTGGTGCTTCACAGGAGGTGAACTCTGCTTGGAAAGCCCACAGAGAAGATGGGGAAGCCTTTGGCACTAGAATTCTGGAGAATAAATGTAACAGGGAGCTCAACATAGGAATTGTTTTTCTCAAAAGCATCCATAAAAACAGAATAGTGGTCTGTTCCAGTATTGTAATTGCAATGTGCCAAGATGTTCATTACTCTAGCATATGCACTGTTTTGCCTGTTTTCACTTAAAAACAGAAAAATGTGTTACCGAGCCCATAAATGTCTGCAGAGCTGCCAACTCTCCTGACTTTTATCAGTAGTCTCGTGATATTTAGCCTCCTTTGTAAAGCTTCAAGTAAAGGCAAGATATAACGTGAGAAGTTCAGATCTCTCCTTTCTGTTTTTTTAAACCTAATCCTCCTGGTTGCTGAGGAAGCTGACTTGCATGCAGCTCCAGAAATGTGAAGGAAACTAACGGAAATCCCAAATCTCACTATGTAAATGCATGCAGACTTTGTGAATAAGGTGGGTTTGTGTATGTTATGCCTGGCAATTAAAAAACCCCAACTTTTTTTCCTGAGGTTTACCATAATCAACTCCCCCCAGAATTTCTGATCATTTGTCTGGTAACTCCCATTTTGTTAAAGAGGTTTTATTGCAACGGAGGGTGAGGCTCCTTGACTCCGCTCAGCCAGTGGAATAGGTTGCTGCCCTGGAGAAACCCATCCTTGATCCTCCCATCCTCTGCCTCTGGCAGTGTGTTCCCATCTCCTGCCTCGTGCCAGGTTTGGCTCTTGGCTCACCTCCTGGCATGCTGAATGAGCTCACTGGAGCAGCAGGAGGCTGCACGTGCTGCTGGCCTAGTGAGTTGGTTCAGCTCAGCAAGTGGACAGAAGCTCCACAAGGTGCAAGGGAAGTGGCTGGAGCTGGTGGCTTGGGGTGAGGGGGAAAAACGTGGCCTCCCCTTTAGGGGGATGTAAGATCACTGTAAGATCACTCAGCTACCTGGTGACACCTCAACCTGTGAACCAG